CATTCATAATATTCTGTTTAAGGTGCATCACGTTTTTAAAATTCAATCAGCAGCAAGTAAAAATAACAATAACAGATTACTGTATTTTGTTAGAACAGGAAATAAACAGACTTGAGTTTAGGTGTCCCTCATCTGTAAACCCTTAACTGTAGTATGGGTTTACAACAAATTGACAAAGTAGCATCATTGACAGTTGGATGTGAATCCAGTCCAGTTCCTGAAAGTTCTTCCCAACACCACGTCACATCATCTGAACCTGAACTCTCTGAAATGCACTTTCTCGTTTTGTATTTTTGCCTCTGATTCTCCCGATGCATTAATTCATTCAGAACTTAAAAGCATTTCAACAAGTCTCTATTCAAGCCCAACACTATACCAGCAATAAGTCTGAACATTTTCAAACCTTGAGTACATAACAAATGAATCACATATCATTGTTATTGTCATGGGATACTTCAGGTTGAAACTCATCAGTTGAAGAAATGCCTCCAGTTTTGCCTTTGAATCATTCACCTGCTCTCTCAGTTTGCTCATAAGCTTCTTTGCTCTTGTCAGTGGAGCAGGAACCACACAGTGAAATATTGTATTTTGTCCAATTGGAAACTTTACGAATGACTTACAATTCAATTCAATTTACTAATGGAAATTTGTATTTTTGAATCAAATTTACTTGTTGATGCACATAACCTGTAAAGGTGTCACATAATATTTTTTTTGTAGTACACATTTAGGAATACTTTCTTTGTGTGTATTGTGTTTGCATATGTGTATTTTCCCCATTTAACAGATTAAAAACTTTTATCATCTTAATACAGCAGATTGTCTCTTGAGTTAAATCTTCAGTGTTGTTTGAGCAGCACACTCAATGGTTTACCACAGGGTGGCGCTCTCTGCCGGAGGATCACTGTACATACAGTGTTAGAGGACAGCTGTGTATTAGAGGTGCAGATAAAACTTATTGTGTGTGCATATGTGCTGGTGGGATGGCAGGTTTGGAATGTTCTGTAATTCTTCTGTATGATGATAACTCAAAGGAGCTGTGTATAAATGTCCTGAGAGGTGTTTTCAAGAAGTGGCAGACCTGACTTGTGTGAGCAGGCGTGTTGGGACAGGAGCTAGTGTTCTGAGGTATTCCAGGAGACACTCCCAGGCTTCCTGTTTCTACTTTTCTCTTCCCTGAGGCGACACATTTCTGCACAAGACTCTACCAGAACTGAAAACATTCTTAATTGTCTTCCTACACATTATATCTGCTTTCAAAATCAGGTAACTCTGTAAAGGATTCTCTATGTTTCATGTTCTTTCATCCTAGTTAATCTCACTATCATTGGAGCTTTAAACCTCATACAATAGATTTTGGTTATGACTTTTCTAGCTATTGTATTAGAGTAATGATTCTATGTCACATCCGTGCTAATAAAACAATAATGATGACGATTACACTGTGGCCTGGCTCTTGCACAAGGGCGGAAACATGGTGGAGGTGGGATGGGAGGCTTTTTTCCCTCCCTCTCTCATCCACCCACACACACACACACACACTGGTTTGATCAAGCCTGATCCTGTTCCATCACTATGTGCAAGTGTGTGTGACACATTAAAAAAACACAAATATAACAACCATAAAACCATGTCATCATATGAGAGTAAGAAAGATTTTATTTCACACATGGTAAAATAATAACGAAGCAAACCAAAGTAACACAAATCAAAATAAGTGGTAATTAGCTGCAAAGACTGTACAGACCCCTGAGATGTCTCTTGT